TTTTTGAAAGCTCTCAATTAACAGTAAAGCTTTTCATTACACAATCTTGAGGACATTTTAAAGAACTACAATGTTTTTAATGAGTCTTGTGAAGCATGTTACAGAAGTCTGTACTGAAAAATGGAAGCAAGTCAAAATTATCACAATATCCATAATAAGAAATGTTATAAGCAACAGGCCTTTCAGCCCACCTAACACATTAGGTAGGTAGTAGGTCATTGTAGCCAATCTTATCCAGCCATTTCTCAAACAAACAGAGTATCAGCTTTATCAACAAGGCTGGGTAGCTTGTTCCAGACTCTCCCTTGAAGTTAAGTACAACCCTTGGAGTAAAGATGTGTCTCCTGTTCTCAGTTTTAAATCACTTCCACATAGTTTTCCACTTGTAACATGGTTATATATAATTTAATGTATAATTTAAATATGTAAACATTTCTAATATATAAATTAGAAACCATAAAATACAGTACTACAGTACATATCCTCTATGAGTACACCAAGCTTCATATTTTGGAGTAAGATGTTTGGCATTTGTGCATGAATCCATAAGTTTGTATTTTAATGTTGCGAATGTATTTTAATGTAAGTGAATAGAACAAGAAAATTCTATTTACTATTACAGTGAAGTAAAACTTTACTTTAATGTTACTAAAAAATACTAAAAAGTTACTTAAATGCAACTTTTGGGCCTGTAACATAACTGTCTAGACTCCTGCCCTCACTAGATAAAGATGATAGTTTATATAAGTTATTATCTCTGTTTTTATAACTGGATGGAGTTAAAAAACACAGTGACAAAAATCTATAAATATACATATAAAACCTCAATATATAACCTTTATGTGTATATAGTTGGATCCGTGTCACTCAATTCCTTGTTTTTTAAATATACTGTATGACTTGTAGTGCTGAATTTTAATCTGAGTTTTAAATTTATTTTGCCTCAAACAGAAGAAACAAGTGTTTTAATTTACACTAATGTCTATAAATCAAGTAAACACAGGGATTTTTAGTAAAACAATTATTTATTTTCATTATATTTGCATTTTATTTAATGCTAATATAAGGAAAAATCACATCATTCTCTTTGAAAGATAAACATTTCGTTATAATAAGAAGAACAACTAATTACTGTTTCCTTTCTTTAAGGTTTAAGGTAGTCACAAATGATTTTTTTAAAGTGTATTTAGTTTTCTTCTAGGCACACCATGTTATGAAATAATCTTAAACCACAGAGTTTTGTTTTTTATGTATGAATCCTTAGTCAGTAGGAATATTTGAAATTTTAAACAAACTAGTGTGACAACAATTAATATTTAATACAGAGAAAGAAGAGGTCTATGAAATGTGACAATCACACTATGATCCATTTTAACAAACATATACACATTAACATTCAAGAAAATCAGGCAAACAAATTGAACAATGAACAGTCAAGTTTTCAGTCCCATTGAACTATCCCTTTTACTACAACACAAGGAAAACTTCTGTATACAAAAAAAGTTATTTGTAGCTTCTTCTTGCAAATAACTTAAACATACATGCTCAAAACCTACATCATATTGTTCAGGTTTTCCAAAGATCAAATCTTTTAACACACCCAAAGCTAAAATTAATGTTAAATGAGATATGTAAACATTACAAAACAAACTATGTTAACCCTTCCAGTAGACTCTAATTGTGTCTATTTGTTGTACAGATTAACTATCTCAGGTTTGTCTTCAGCTTACATTCAAATATTAATTTATTTTTAAGAATTAAAAGTATATAGTTTAAAAAAATCAGATTACCTCCACTTTGAGCAGGCAGGACTCATGTTAAGGTTCTACATGAAGCTTTGCCAGTAGAAAAACTAACTATCTTGACCTCCGTGTAGCAAGGGAGCTGTGATACTGGAATTTTTTAGGTGAGAAAAAATTTTGAATGCCAGTGAGACCAAACTGGATTTTTCCAGAAGGGCCTACATGGACAGAGAGCCTGATCTGAATAATGCAAAGCACTAATTAAACCTTCGTTCCAGAAGCCAAAAATAAATAACATTGGTTTTCCGTGGCTATTTTTAGGTTGTTCAATGTATGTTGGGTGTGCTTTGAATTTTTATCAAAGGGGTACTTTTACGTGCAAGAACATTGTTAAAGAGTTGGATAGCACGATCCTGAAGGTGTGCTACCAGGGCTGCAGGCATTATCCATGTTCTCTCAACTGCTGTTTGACGATAATTTTCCTCTCTCTGACATTTCAGAGTTTGTGAAGTGAGGAGAGAGGTGTCAGGTGCACTGCCTGCATTTCGAATGACGTGCATTTCAGCTGTTTGAAAATTTTTAATTAGCCTGCCAGATTTCTGCTATTAATTTAGCCAAGGCAATTTTGATTTAAAACGATCAATCACCAGTAAAAACAAATTATGACCCATAAAACATAATGTCAAGTGGTATAACAAAAATAAATCTGTTAACACAATCATCAACATCTTCCCATTTCACATGGTACAAATAGAAATACAAGGCATAGGTTATTGCAATACTGGAATAAACTGCAGGCTCTAGAAATACTGTACTCCGTCCAGCAACTGAAACAAAAGTACAAACTTAGGCAGGGGCTGAAGTGTCTTGAGTAGATGAGAGGATCTACAAGAAACAGAAATAGGAGGCAGAGGACTGATAGAAATATAAAAGACAATATTTGTCCATGCAATGTAAATGGAAATCCTAAACAGTGCTGTAAGTGGGATTGGAGAACAAGCAGGTTGCACTCTCTGCTCTCCAGATCTGAATTATCAAAGAACAGACATGCTGTACTATTGGAGGTGCCATGATTCAGATGAGATGGCAATCCAAGATCATTAAAGATCCCATGGCAGGGCCACTAAGAGGTTTACAAAAAAGAAGTAGTTCTAGACAGCTTTTTGCTTTGAACAGATTGATCTCAATGTACAGTTCAGCAACTATTGTTTTTGTCCTGAATAATTTCTCTAGCGGGAAATAAGGGTCTGGAAAATCAAGAAATCTGAAACTCTGAGACATTGAAATATCACAGATTAGAAAAAGAAACTTTAATTTTGGCAATGTTAAAGGCATCTCAAACTTCTTCATTATAAAAACTTACAAGAAAAGAAAGAAATCCTTAAAAAGGTTAGGAAAATCAAACTGCAAAAATTAAATATGGAAAAGTAATTTGAACCTCAGTTGCTACACATTGTGAGGAAGAAATGTTATCTTTTGACAATTAAATGTCTCTTACATGTTGCAGTTTTTGAACTGGCACTTCTCTGGCATCTGCCAGCACCCTGAAATATGGCACACAAGCAACAATGGAGCAACAATCAAATCCAGTCAGCTATAAGACTGGCCGTGTGATCCAATAGGTTTGCAACACCTTTCAAGCTCCAAAGGCGTATGTCACTATAACATGCTCATGCTTTTCATTTCCCAATCTCCATGCCTCCTCCACATTCCTTTGATTGATCTGAATCATGGCACTAATATAGTGTGTGTGACTGGTCCAAGGCTGCAATCAAACTAACATTTCTCAGGCATACTCCCAGTATCCTAACCTATTTGAAGCAAAAAACTATTGATGTGACACAGCACATTTCAACCAAATTTCATTAGTGAAACACAGACCAGAGAACACATGTGGAAAGTTCAAACACATTTTAATCTGAGAACAGGAAGTCCTTTTTATGCAAAGGGTTGTGGAAGTGGAACTTGGTTATTGTTACAAATCCAGGGAGGAAGTTTCAGATCTCACAGACCTTCAATACCAGGAGTTGTGGAAACTAGGCTTATTGAGCCTCATTACACATTATATGGTTAGGTTTAAAGCTGTCTTGTTTGCAAGGTCTGAAAGATTGGACTAAGCAATCACCCAGAGATTAGTATCTGAGTAAAGGGAAAGATAGGGGCTGATCAAGGGTTAGGTCTCCCTATAGGTTAGTTCTGATGGGCAGGAGTTCCAGTCTGTCTGATGGGCTAAAGAAGAAGCAGCTCTCAGGCAAACCAAAGGGCTCACAGATATGTTGCAACAGCAAACAAAAGGAAAGTCAGGTCAAGGGCAAAGCAACAGGTTAATTTATAGGTTAGCGTTATCTGTCCTGATAGGGGATCAGTTATAACCAGAAGTTCATTGGTTACTCTTACGATGCATTGGTCAGGACCCTATGCAGACGGTATAATCCAGAAGCATGTGAAATGGACACGGGGAGGTGACAACAAGGAGCTGGGCAGGTTGGCAAACAGGGGGACTGTGCACCACTGGTGCAGGGGGGGTGGGGGGTGGTCCAGGTGTACAAGTCCAAAGGAGTCCAAAGGGAAATCCAGGGTGAAGTCCAAAAGTCTAGAGCTGGGTAATCCAAACGAGATTGGACAAGACAAGGGTTAAAAATAGGAACGGGATCCGGTGCAGGGATGGGGAATAAAACAGGACCCCAGACTCAGCAAGTTCAGGATGCCGATAGGATCCCTATGCCCTCAAGCCGCGGACATACAGTAGGGCGACTTGGTGGTAGGCGGGCCTCTGGGTGTCCGTGTTCCAATGCAGAGCCCAGAATAGTGTGAGCATCTGGTTTATATAAGCAGGGGCTGGATAGGAGGCAGGTGCACAAAATGAACTAAAATGTGAAAGAGCCGGAGCACCCTTAATAGGAGGGATTACAATCGTGACAGTCAAAAACCAAGGAAGGGGATTTATTTAAATAGCTTGTGCAGTTTGATTAAGCAAATGTTGTGGTTTCAAATCCCAGAGTGGGTTTGAGTTGATCAGGACAAGTGTCTAGATAACTTACCAGTGTTAAAGTTCCTCAGTCGTAATTCTAATATACAGTGTCAGGGGAACCACTAATGAGATGAGTTGTTTCCCCACATAGATTGCACATTTTGTTGTCTGGGCTATTCTCCATGTCATGAACCAGTTCCAGACATTTCATACATACAGTACCTGTTTCATACACTGCTGCTACCAGATGCCCCAATGCACCATATCTCTTATACCACTTCACCTGATTTTGAAAGAATATCAATTCGCTATTTTATCCCAGAATTATCTTCGAGGGGAGATGCCAAAAATCACCATTATCTGGATGCCTTTCTGGATCTGGGAGTAACGCAATATCCATTCTCCATGTCTATCCATTTCATATCCCATCATCATCCAATTCGTTCACCACATCCTTTAAAACTGAACAATACAGTATCTTTTCTGACAAGTTATGACATCATCCTGAGTGATTATATCAGTGTACTTCTTCACGACCACAGTCTTACCTGCTGTAACAGGTCCTTCCCTGGGGCTGGAAGGACCTGCACAAGGAACTGTTGTTAGGATCAGTCTGGTGTTTCTCTTCCCTCTCTTGTGTCATCATAACCTCACTGATTTACTGTATTTCCCGATGATGTATACTTCTTGAACCTTGTAGAACTTTGGAATGTAGACCAGTAGATATCATTTAACTGGAAACTGGAAAATAATTAAAGTTTACTATGAAAAACAACACCCAAGTATTAAGCACATTGAAAGGTCTATTGAGTTTTTAAGTCACAATAAATCTGGCTTAATCCATATGGATGACAGACAGCCTCCTTGCCATGGGATGAAGAATCCCTGAAAAGAACCAAGTACAGCTACAAACCACCAATGCAGAATTACGTTCTGCAAGTGTCAAAAGCATTAGGCTCTTTCAACAGTTGTAATATGAAATTCCATTGATAAGAGGCATACATTTAAGGGGTTCAGTGATGACTATTGCCAGAAGCTAAGCATTTTGTCTTTCTTTTTCTGAACATGTGTAGAGAAATTGAATATTGTTTTTCACAGAGGAAAGGCAGAACTAGAGAAGAAATTTTAATCCTGGGGACAAGGAAATCATGCAAGGAAGAGAGATCTATGATGAGGCATGAAATGACATAGCCATCTACTGTCACAACCGCCAACCTGCCCAGACTAGCCCCCAAGAGAGCTAACCAGTGCCAGCAGCAGGGCAATAATTACAAGCGCCGCCACATGTGTTAACTCACTACCAGACGCCCTACCGTGCAGCCGGCTTCTTGCTGCTCGGTATTGAGTCTACACTTTGAGAGCTCTACCTGGCGTTTATTCTGTAGTTTGGATCTTGCCTCTCATTTCAGATTGTTTGCCACTATTTGTACTTCCTGGATTTCTAACCACCTTTCTCCTTTTGATCACGAACTCGCCTGATAAACCAAATTGTTTGCCTGCCTCGACACCTACAGATGCAGCCATTCAAAGTGCGCGGTACAGACATGTACCGGAGGTAATTGGCTACGGCGTCGCGCATCGTGACGCAAGATGACGCGGGGTACCGCGGTACATGATTGGTTGACCGACAGGGGCACTCATGGTCC